CATGAGCCCTTGATAGTTTATAAATGGGTATTTTGTCATATCTTGCCCTGTCCGACTTCTCCCTCCCTGTGAGTTTCTGAGTGTGTAACTCTTTCCAGGATTAGAAAGCCCCATCTTTCTCCCTCTGAGCAGCTGGTGGTTTTGAACTGCTGACCTTGTGGTTAGCAGTCCAACTCCTAACCACTATATCACTAAGGATCCTTACATCATATAGGTGGTTAAATATTCTCATTTTCACCACAAATCCCATCATTTTCAAAGGAGTCAGATTTTTAAAATAGAAACTTGACTATCTTGACTATTGAAACCAAGGCCTTATTCCAGTCAATTACAACTCACAGCAACCCTCTAGGACAGAGTAAAATTACCTTACAAGTTTTCTAGAATTAGAAACTATGGAAGCCAATTGCCTCATCTTTTGCCAACAGGCCATTTGGTGAGTTCCAAACTACCCAGAGATTAGCCACAGATATCAAGGGTCCTATGGTCTGAGAGACATACCTGTAACTCACAGCCAAAGAGAAAGTCTCTTCAAACCATTCTAACTGGGAATTCCACATCACAATGCACTACAATTACCATTGCTAGAGGCAGTGGCCACCACCTTCAAAAAAAACTAGCCTGGACCCACTTCCAACAGGAAACTCTGTGAGTCAAAATGTGAACCATTTGCACAGGGGGCAGCTGAGCTCTTTCACTTTATATATATAAACTAGTACTGGAAATTGGACAGATTTGTCAAAAGGAGTGACCTTCTGTGCCCCTGTGGGTGTGCTAGACTGTAAGTCTTCGTTTGAGAAGACCTCATCTTTCTCATGGTTGGTGTTTTTTAGATTGCTGACCTTGTGGTTAGCAGACCAAAGCACCACTCACTAGTCACCAGAATTCACAAGTAGGGACCAATACGATGGCACAGTTTGGTTTTTTGTTTTCAAAGGGGAGTTGGCCAGCCCTGCTCACTTGTCTCTATAGCAACAAAATGAGGTTTCTGAATGTTACAACAAAGACTATCCCCCTTTGTTTCTTGACGAGAACACGCTAAGATACTACGTTTAGTTTCAATTCAATCACAAGAAAATTGGATCAATGTCACAAGAAGGATCAGCCAGCCCTCCTAACGGGTTCCTCCAAATCTCTCCCACCTCTAAAATCACTAGGAACTACATGCAGACCTGGCGGACAATCTCACATACCTAAGGGACATTATACAAACAGAATATGAATCCCTAACACCTCCCCATGCCGGCATAAAATGAGGCACATCCGGCCTTGCCCCAACTTAACCACCGTCTGGGATGTCTCCAGCCCGTCTCAAATTCGCACGCGCCTTACTCACCCGGTCCAATGCCGGATTCCCACCACGACCACGAAAAGCGGCACCAATCAGGCGCTCTCCACCAGAAAACTGCCGGGTTTGCTACCCTAGCCTTCGCACGACCAACACGGGATGGGAATTCACAGAATGCCCTCTGCGCCCACCCCCACAACCCACAGGCCCCGAAATGCATGGCCCGTGTAGCCCACTCTATGCGCTTTGTCCTGGAGTAATGCCACCGTCTCAAAAACGAAATTCGAAGTTCGAGGTCACTCGCGGCCCAGCCACAGCCCAGATCGAAGGGCCACGGAGCTCCCCGCAACTCGAGGACCAGGCCGTCTCCCACACTTTCCTGGGCTCCAAAGCGCGTCCAGAGCGGCGCCCCTTCCCCACAAGCGCAATCCCAGGAACCAGGGCACATTCAACCCCAGAACGCAGCCCCACCGCCCGAAAGCCCCTCCGGTCCGACGCTGGGCCCACCGCCCCCGCTCATCACCACGCGCGGGAAAAGCCACTCGGGCGTCGAGGGCGCTGCGGCCGCGCTCAGCTGTCAGTCCGTCCGCGC